ATTTTAGAAGCAAGGTTAGTACCAACATTTACAAAGTAATCATTAAAGGTATTGGCGATCATTCCAGGATTTGTGATATCGCTATTGTTATGGGTAAATGAATTGGGATAATTGAGCTGAGGTTTAGATTTATTTAATAGTTCTTTCAAAGTTTTCCAGGTAGCTTTAATGCTGGTTTTAACAAATTTGAATTTATGATTATAAAAATGTTTTTAGCTATCCTGAGAAGATGATTAAGTTTATTCCTGTATATTTTGTACTTTTGTTCATATTTGGCTGTCCTATTTTGCAGGAATTTGCTGTAGAGTTCATTAAAATTTTTTAAATTTGATAGATTTAATTAATCCCTGTGTTATCCAAGGCTTTCGGGATTGGTGTTTTGTTAGTTTAACCTTTGTTAATGGAATATGCTGATTATACAAGGTATTAATGTGATCAGAAAAAAAGGGTATAGGCAGAGTTTGGGTCAGATGTGGAGAACACTGAACTCCATTCAATTTTATAACAGAAGATATACTTACACATGGTACATACAAGGCATTATTTAATTTACCTAATGCATTTATAATGTTTAAAAGCACGGACAGCCTTTTCACACTCCAGACACAAATTGATAGCGCCAGGATAATCTTCTTCCTGATGGTGGTAAAAAGAAAGAAATCGAGGCTACAGTATATTATTCCTATTCCGGCAAACCGTACGGTACCGGAGTCCTGAAATGGGAGCGATTCTATATTTTCTTATTTTGAGTCAAGGTTTCTTCAATATTCCTGCAATTTTTCCCCTATTGGCAGATGTGACTGAATGAGTGGCATGCAAAAGACTTAGAAATGTGTCTGCCCTTCCAGAAAATGATTTTATACTTTTGGTTGCATGTTTTTTGTATATACAATTTTATAAAATGTATATACAATTTTAGACCTACAGTAACCTGGAGCAGCTTCGAAAAATGAAACTTTAGGCCCCCAGCAGGAATCGAACCTACTGAACGGCCCTGCGATTCCGGTGAAACACCTTAACCACTGAGCAGGCTGAGCTGCAGAGACCAGTTTCCAGTGTCGTCATAGCAAGCGCCTCTCACCTCTGAGAACGTGGCTTTGATTCTCGCTATACGGGCCCATGTGAAAAGAGTCAGTCAACGCTCTGCCGAAAGTCGTGGTGTTTTTCCGGGTGCTCCTGTTTCCTCCCAGAGGGAAAGTTGACACGATGGGTTAGGATACACACAGTTAGGAAAGTATAATATCACAATTGTTGTAAAGATAATTAGTCTACACGCGTAATACTTGAAAAAATCAACAACTTGTTCCAGGTTGATATCAACAGGCGTGAACAAGGTTGTGCGGCCCACTATGAACAGTATTGTCAACATGTTGTTATAGCATTGTTCAACTGTAACAACTTGGAACAACATGGTTGACAACTTGTTCATAGTTGACCGCACAACATTGTTCACGCCTGTCGATATCAACTTGGAACAACCTGTGCGTTTTTAGCCGTGTAGGGCAAGTAGGTAATACAAGTAACCGTAATACTTGATGTAATCGGTCACTGAAAAGCCCCGATGGGGAGTGAGCTGAATAATATTATGTAATCTAATGTAATGTAATTCACCGCAAGTTCTTGTATATATAGTAAGATGATGGCATTGGCAGAAATATGATTGGGTAAATATCAAGATTTTGGGCATCTCGTTCGATATAAGATTTTAGCCATCTCGTTCGGTATGTCCGGTTATATCGAACGAGATGTGTTCTTGATATTAACATACCTGCTGTGAACCAGGCTTTAATGTTGATACAGAGATCATGTAAAGTGACATGTGGCGGTCAACTATAAAAATTAACTATTATACATACTATTTCGTAGCTGTACCTGTAGCATTTCCCTTAGTCGAACATCACTTTGTTGCTGGAAAAAATTACAGCCAGAATTATAGACTCTGTGTTAAAATAATTAATGCACCATATGCAGGTATATATGATGATTTAGGGACGGTCATTAACTATGGGGCCGGTGGCAAATTTTGTTGATGCTAAACTCTTTAGTTGCCCCCTCAAAGATAACACAATTATACTTGATCCCCCAATCTCCACATGCAATAACAAAAGGAAACTACGTAATTTAAAGTTCTTATAAAGTGAAGCCACAGTTAATCATACTACCCTATATACATGTATCGTAATTTATATATGCGCGATGCCGTTTGTTTTTACCGCATTTATTTTTAAATTTTTGAATAAATTAGCTTACATGTCAATTAACCTGTTATCAACGTAAGTTCAGCCAATCACAATTCTCGGTAGCTGGCTGCCGGGAGTGACCAATTTTACTAGGGCTTTCGGGCAGGCTCTTCTTCAATTCTCAGCCCTACCGAAGAGCCGGCCACACTGGCTACTATAAAACGTGCAAGCTGGATAATGATTCATTTTACAAAATACTGGGCCCTACCAATGGAAGGATGTAAAAGTACCTCCACTCAAGTCACAACAAATACAGTCTCTAACGATTGACCAGGTACAGGTCAAGTTCACATCAAAAACAGTAAGTAAAAGTACGTTATAAAGTTTGATTAGAACCTTCTATTAGGCTTCAAAATGAGGCGAGATTAGTAAAACTACTACTCGGTGCAACTTTACATATAGAGTTCTACATCCTAACAATACGATTAAAATATGAGGCTTTAAAAGTACTTGTTTTACAAAGTGGAGTTCAAGTGGCTTTCCCTCCTGTTTCTAATCTATTGTATTGTGCTTCTCGGTTTCAATTGATTCTCTCATTTTGCGAGAGAACTTATGACTATGTCAATCGCCAAAATGGTTGCTTTGTCCCATTTTATACGATGGTCGTAAGTCCAAGTATGTTTAGCCACTGACAGCAGATTTATCTTGCTCGGCTTTCTCGCAATTCATCCTATGTTTCTTAAGACCGGTATTGAGAGATTTCAACCAGGTTCGCCAATGTAAACTGGGCCACATTCACAAGGAATGCGGTACACACCAGGTTTCTGAGATTCATTCACGTTGTCATTATGTGTGTAAAGATTTCGAAACAATTTGTTTTCACTGCATGATACTTTGGACTACCGGCAGTCTCTACCGTTTTAAGTATATCTGAGACAGAGAGGATTTCAAAAGTATAAAAATTTCTGATACTTTGGACTACCAGTTTCTGCAGTTTTAAGTGTATTTCACGTATGGGGAATTCGAAAAGTATCAGAATTTCTGATACTTTGGACTATCAGCCTCTGCTGTTTTAAGTATATTTCACATATAGGGGATTTGAAAAGTATCAGAATTTCTGATACTTTGGACTATCAGTCTCTGCAGTTTTAAGTATATTTGACATATAGAGGATTTCAAAAGTATCAGAATTTCTGATACTTTGGACTACCTGTCTCTACAGTTTTAAGTATATTTGAGATAGACAGGATTTCAAAGTATCAGAATTTCTCACACCTTGGAGTTTGGAATACCAGTTTCTGCAGTTTTATGTATATTTCACATATATGGGATTGGAGAAGTATCAGAATTTCTGATACTTTGGACTACCGGGCTCTACCGTTTTAAGTATATTTGACATACAGTACAGAGGATTTCAAAGGTATCAGAATTTCTGATACTTTGGACTACCAGTCTGCATTTTAAGTATATTTGAGATACAGAGAATTTCAAAAGTATCAGAATTTCTGATACTTTGGACTACGAGTTTCTGCAGTTTTAAGTATATTTCAGATAGAAGGGATTTGAAAAGTATCAGAATTTCTGATACTTTGGACTACCGGTCTGCAATTTTAAGTATATTTGACATACAGTACAGAGGATTTCAAAAGTATCAGAATTTCTGATACTTCGAACTACCAGTCTGCAATTTTAAGTATATTTTAGATTCAGTACAGAGGATTTCAAAAGTATCAGAATTTCTGATACTTTGGACTACCAGTCTGCAATTTGAAGTATATTTGAGATAGAGAGGATTTCAAAAGTATCAGAATTTCTCATACTTTGGACTACCAGTCTCTGCAAGTTTTATCTTTTAAATATTTTAATTGGAGCATCTCATTGTCTTTAACATTTTATGCTGCTTAATAAGGTGCATCCATATTTTCGCATTTCCAAGATAATGTATTGTAATTTGCTTATTCGTAATTCTTGGTGGTCCGTATCCTCTATTTTTGCAGAAAAAAATTCATGGTCAGCAAGATTTTTTTGAAAATGATTGTTTATGTTGACAAGTTTTTCATGGAAACGCTTTATTCCTTTAAGCGTGATTTTACATCTTGCTTTTTTCTCAAATATCAATTTTTTCGACTTATTTTACAGATAGTATAAAGCCATTCGAACATTTTTAAAACGTTTTTTATATTTTGGGGAAAATTAGCACAAAATCTGCAGAATGAGAGGAAAATAGCCAAAAAAAAAAGAATTTTGGAAAATGCAAAGATAGTTTGGAACGCGTTCTAGATGTAGATGCAAAATACCCAATCTTGTTGCCAAAGGAAGGTAAGTTAACTGAATTGATAATTGTCCATTATCATAATAAGGTACATCATAGTGGGGTTAGAGCAACGTTATCAGAGGTAAGATCACGTTTTTGGATCACAAAGGGTAGGCAAAGGGTTAAGGTACATATATCAAACAAATGCACCGTTTGTAAGAGATTGGAAGAAAAACACTACAATGCACAGAAGGAACTGCTGACCTTCCCAGCTTTAAAGTAAGGGAAACTGAACCATTCGCAAAAACAGGGCTCGACTTTGCCGGTCCATTGTACGTCAAGAACGCCATCAACTGAACTGATAAAGTTTATATCGCGTTATCTTCGTGTTGTGTAAGTAGAGGATTACATTTAGATTTGGTAAGAGATTTATCGACACAAGAGTTTTTACGATGTTCACGACGATTTTCGGCACGTAGACTGAAATTTGTCAAAACCAGAATCAGAATGTGTATACGTCTAAAACTTGTATTAGGGCTACAAACAATATAATAAAATGTTTTATATTTTTTGTCCATTTTGAATTCCATCTTTATAATATTTAGATTAATTTCTAACATTAACAATGTTAAAGAAACAATAGATTTTGATCTTCAAAGCGTTCAACATATCGATTATTACAACACCTTGGAAAAAACGCGTGATATTTCAAAATAATCATGTCTTTCGGATTGTACTTCGTCTTGTAAAAAAGAATATATAGTTGGAGAGGCGTCAGAATATCAGGGGTGCGAGACGAATGAAGGATGAACGGACACAAGATTTTAATTTAAATTTGAAACGCTATAAATTTTGGTTGAAAGTTGTTGATACATCTTTGAAGATGGCAACGATTTTTAGAAAAATTGCTACCAACATTTTGGTTTACAAGATATCTTAAAGCTTGAGCAGCCCTTGAAAATTCTAACATCTCTCACACTTTATTGTACATTATTATTTAAGAAAAGAGGTCAATAAAATGGTAGAATGTTAAACGATATATTACTATAGGAAATGTTTCTAAAATTTAAGCCTATGTCTAGGAAGAACAAGATTCAATCTGTTCATAATGTTAATTATCTACCTTTACCAACATTCCGACAACGTCCCTGTACTACCCCTTGCGGACCATAACAATTCTTTTCGTAGATTTTTTGCAGAATCTTAATTTTAGTTTGTCTGATATAGGGTTTGCGTTGACAAATTTCTTTTTTTCAGGTGTACAAACAACACCGCAATTGAACCACACTCGTTTGCACATAGTCATACATATGAATGATTGTTTTCATCTCAGCCGATCATCCAATATATTTTTAAAAGCTCCCATAAGCTTAAGGAGAGTTAACTACGCCTACGGATTCCTAAACGGTTTTGTTACAAGGATGTCTTTCCAAACTTTCGAAGCACCCTGATATGGTAACGTTTGACACTGTGGGAACAAAAGTTGCATTTTCAGTATTGTAAACCAGCACAAAGTATCTAGATAGTGCCATTAATCACAACTGTTACACCGCTATAAACCTTTAACTCTTTCCATAAAGTAAATATTTGCATTTGCTTGGTTGAACTTGTAAATCAGGAACCAACACTGATCCTTGTGGTGTTTTTATTTCTCCAACGAATACAGCAGTTAACTCACATTTAGTCTTTTCAATACTGGATTAATCCTCGACTGGAGCGTACAGAATTTTGCCTTTGCAATGCTATACGTCTGTGTAATATAATTGGAATTAACGCTTTTGCAATTCCTAGTGAACGAGAATGGCATCACACAAATATACTCAGTTGGAAATAGTCAGCTGAAGGTGTTTATATTAGCCATTAATCCATTTTCCTCATTTCTTTGTTCGCTCAGAGTACGTACAAGTGAAGAATACGTACTGTTCCGCCGTCCAGGTTAAGGCAGGAGCAAAAGGTTGGCAGTTATTCATAGTATTATAATGGTTGCCTTCATCAGTGCTCCACTACCTCGCAAAATGGTAGTTGAATTTCAACGTCACTTTCCACAACGACATTTTCCGAGAAGTATCACAAGGTAGAAAAATATGCTTTCGTGATTGCAATTCCAAATGCATCCTGTCTCTATTTTAAGATTGTGTTCCAGATAGTGATTAGGTGTTTTTGCCATATCGCTTGCTTCATGATTCTTGCAATCATCGATGTACATCCACGTTGCAGAATGTTGGCTATAGTTCAATTAGATTTTTTACAAATACAGAACTCAATATACTGCTCTGTGTCACATACATAAACATACTTATTCTGTTACACGTTCAAATGTATTCTGTTTCAATCTTTTAACTAAGTTCCAACAAACTTGTACAATAAATTATCTACCTTGGAAAAAATAAGTACATTTTATTTTATTTTTTGTTGAAAACGTTCTTCTCATAAGCATATTATTAGCTTATGCCAAGATAGAGCGTTTTCAAATATCGCCTTTGAGATATAACAAATACATTTTTGAGAAAATAATCTGGGAAAATACCTTTGTTATATCTACGAAATGTTGCAATGCTGTTTTTACCAACCAGGTTTTAACATAGGCAGCCAGCAAACACTCATCACAAAACAAGAAACACTTTAAAATATTAATTCAATTCGTATTTTATAATCACTGATTAATCACTGGTTAATTTAGGCCTCTCTTTAGGTTGGGTTGCCAAATATTGGAGACAGAGACAAATTTAAAATTCCCAACAAATCTAACCCAACATATGTGACCACACTTTCGTTGCTGCAAACCATACTAAACTTTTTAGCTTACATTTCATTCACTTCTGCCAAATTTACAACCTAGCAATATTTTAGTTGTAAAATTTTGTTAGATGTTTGCTACGCCGTTATTCAGTTACCACTCAAAGGTTTGCAGAAATAAATAGGCGAGCAGCATTTCTTCAAAATTGTTCAAAGTCACAATGGCGGAAAAATGAGATTTCGTCTGATCACTTTAAATCGGATCGCATTTGGCAATTTTTTAACGCAACGAAACAAAAAGGTTTCACATCACAGCCAAAAGACCGATATTCAAGCTTGAATAAAGTAAATCAGATTCCGTATAATCTTAATAAATACCCAATGTGCAATAACATGTCAAATTTGGATTACCTTATATTTGGATATACACTGCTATCACAGATACTTACTTTTCTCTCAACAATGAACAAAGAACAGACTCAAAGCTAAACTATATTTCTTCTACTACTTTTCTAATGTAAACACTACAGCAACTAGATAAGCTGTCTATCGCATAATCAGATTTTGCGTTTGGCAATGCACACATGATTCTGAACACCATCACATTCTTAGTTACAACAATTTCTCAAACCATTTCCCTGAAAGTATCAACTGCAGCAACTTGATAACTTTAGTATCATGACACTCCTCCTTCACAAACGGGAACACAACTCTAAAAATCTAAAGCTAACTATACACTTTTTACTGTTTTCCCGACAACCAGCAACTTTGGCAATTTCATCGCGTTGTTTTCCCCAAATCTTATTTTAACCGACATCAAGCACACAACGAAGTTAAATAATATTTTTTACCAAAGTAACAATTACAGAAACGTGGAATGATTGCGATAAGAACGTTTCGACACATCAAGATCATCAACAACCGGTAAGCCACTCTAATCAAACCAAACGTTATCTTGAAGTCGATTATCATTTCAAAATATAAATCCATACATTGTCTAACCTTTTAAACGCTCGAAGCAATTTGAGGGGCAGAAAAAGGCTTTAAATTAGGAGCATTCTCAGTCAGTAGTCCATTCCACTACATGGTAATACTATTTTAGCTTTTGCTTGGAATACAACTAAAAAGGACGACGTCATTTTAATGATGTGTGCTTTAGCACTACGAAATCAGAAAACATCTCACGAGATTTTTCTCTGATTTGCTCAATCTCATTCTTGTGGAACTTCGCGTCTTCTCCATAGATAGTAAATGGACCCCAGATCCTACTGGACCGGTAAGCTTCTATTTCGTGTGTCTGAAAGAGGTTCATTGTTCTTCTTAAACTTTCACATACTGATGTTCCTTGGCAAAGTTCGCCATAGAATTTTTCCATAAACTCTTTTGTGGCAATATCGTCAATCGGCCATAGTGTGGCAAGAACGCAGCGCATTCCAGATACAAGAAAAGCTCGAGTAATACCTATGACACCTTCTGAAGTAATTTTACCTTGCCCTGTTTGGCAACAGCATAAAACTACCAAGCGAGCTTGCACAGAAGTATTTAGAATATCTCGCTGTGTGAGAAGATATGACTCTGGCTTGGGAACAGCCAAACCTGGTTGCTCCTGGGAAGAGTTTGGCGCAAGCATTATTTCACCTCGATTTGGTTCGCCATGGGCAGCGATATGGATTATACCAGCTTCACTTAGATGTTGTAATACTACCTCTTTACTTGCTTCGCGTCCTAAAAAAGGTCTAGTTTGGAAAAGCTTTGACAGACATATAACTTCTTCAGCGGCATAGGGAAGGCCACGTGGTGTAACATCTTCTCCATTTAAAGAAACTCTTCCAACAGTTGGATTACCAACAAACAACGCAAAACCAAAGTTTGAGTCACAGGATTGTTCCATGGTACACTTCAGGGTATGCAATGAAGGTGTAATTTGAACGCTGTAACTGTTGGATAAATAAGAGCCATTTTCATCAATTAATGCTGAAAACGGTGTAAAAAACAATTCCTGGTCAGGGACGACAATGAGCTTATTGCCTTTAACGAGATCTTTCACCGGATCAACTAAAAGTTTGAACAATCTTTCCAAAATTTCTCGATTATAAAAATCACTATAGCAAGTAGTATTTTCAAATGGAGTATTAACAACTGAATCGGAGTTGCAAAACGAAGAATTCCGAACAACTCTAACATTTTCCCTCCCAAGAAGTTCCATAATAAGAAAATGAAATGTTTCCAAACATGCATCCAATTTTCGAAAGATAACTTCATCATTTAAAACCCAAACATTAAGAAAACCTTCCAAATCAAAAGCAAATACTAATACTGAGGTATCATTTTCTCCTAGATGAAGAAATGTTTTCATTTCTTCCATTTCTCTTCGCTCTTCTCTGGCCTCGATTCTATTCCATATCCCACGTGCATAATCAAACATATCCTTGTCCACAGAATTCTTATGCTTTTCAAGACAGAAATGGAGCTCCTTAGCCCTACCAATGTCAATGACTAATAATGCGGACTCAATGCGTTCCAAAGAAAGGAAACAACTCATCAAATATTTATGAGATACGAAATATTGTATCGTGAATGACAGCATATTTTGATCCGGAACGAAATCTAAAAACATTCTATCGAACAAACTAATTGACTTCAGGAAGAGTGGTATTCCAACTTCATACTCTCCAAGATATCGATGCGCATTTCCTAAATTGCTGAGGTGAATTGCTATACCTGGCCGATCGCCAATAGCAGTGCTTATTTCTAAACCTGTTTTGTAATGGTCAATGGCTTTCTGATATTCTTCTAAACTAAGATAGGCATTGCCCAAATTGCTATTGTTACTTGCTATTCCTGACCGATAGCCAATAGCAGTGCTTATTTCTAAACCTGTTTTGTAATGGTCAATGGCTTTCTGATATTCTCCTAAACTCAGATAGGCATTGCCCAAATTGCCATTGTTACTTGCTATTCCTGACCGATCGCCAATAGCAGTGCTTATTTCTAAACCTGTTTTGTAATGGTCAATGGCTTTCTGATATTCTCCTAAACTAAAATAAGCATTGCCCAAATTGCAATTCTTACTTGCTATTCCTGACCGATCGCCAATAGCAGTGCTTATTTCTAAACCTGTTTTGTAATGGTCAATGGCTTTCTGATATTCTCCTAAACTAAGATAGGCATTGCCCAAACCTCCATTGTCATTTGCTATTCCTGACCGATCGCCAATAGCAGTGCTTATTTCTAAACCTGTGTTGTAATGGTCAATGGCTTTCTGATATTCTCCTAATCTAAGATAGGCATAGCCCAAACCTCCATTGTCATTTGCTATTCCTGACCGATCGCCAATAGCAGTGCTTATTTCTAAACTTGTTTTGTAATGGCCAATGGCTTTCTGATATTCTCCTAAACGGTCATAGGCACTGCCCAAACCTTCATTGTTACTTGCTATTCCTGACCGATCGCCAATAGCAGTGCTTATTTCTAAACCTGTTTTGTAATGGTCAATGGCTTTCTGATATTCTCCTAAACTAAGATAGGCATTGCCCAAATTGCCATTGTTATTTGCTATTCCTGACCGATCGCCAATAGCAGTGCTTATTTCTAAACCTCTTTTGTAATGGTCAATGGCTTTCTGATATTCTCCTAAACATCGATAGGCATTGCCCAAATTGCCATTGTTACTTGCTATTCCTGACCGATCGCCAATAGCAGTGCTTATTTCTAAACCTGTTTTGTAATGGCCAATGGCTTTCTGATATTCTCCTAAACGTTCATAGGCATTGCCCAAATTGCTATTGTTACTTGCTATTCCTGACCGATAGCCAATAGCAGTGCTTATTTCTAAACCTGTTTTGTAATGGTCAATGGCTTTCTGATATTCTCCTAAACTCAGATAGGCATTGCCCAAATTGCCATTGTTACTTGCTATTCCTGACCGATCGCCAATAGCAGTGCTTATTTCTAAACCTGTTTTGTAATGGTCAATGGCTTTCTGATATTCTCCTAAACTAAGATAGGCATTGCCCAAACCTCCATTGTTATTTGCTATTCCTGACCGATCGCCAATAGCAGTGCTTATTTCTAAACCTGTTTTGTGTGGTCGTATTCTACTATGTTCTTTTCAGAAGCCATTGAATTAGCTCATCTTTAACCCCTTTTTCTTGATTTATCTGAAACAAAGTCGTTTAAGAACAGATTAGCTGGATAGATTGCGACATCCATCTGTTGAGCATGAACTTTTTTTTTATATACCTGTCGCGATTTAGGAAGAGCGTGTTTGCGTTGGGTTTTCTGTTGGCCCAAACAAAACCCAACGCTTAATTAGTTATTCCAGAATCTCAGGGCGCTTTCCATTTGACAGAATTTCCGGAGATCTTGCTTGAAAATCAAATGGAACACGTTTATTTCTGGAATGCTGTTTCGAAAATTCCGGACAATCTCTCGAGGTTGTCCACAAACTGGATATTCCGGAATTTTCGAAATTTTTACATTCATTAAAACATTTCTTTTGAGCAAGTTTTTTGAGCAAAAACCGCGACCAAAACCAAAATGGCGGGTTCGCGACCATTTCAGTGCCTCGAGTCTCGATTTATTTCGCCGAATGCTGAAAGAAGAGATTTGAGCAGCAGTGTTAAATTCTTCGAAATTGAAGAAGCATTATTCCAGAAATTAACGTGTTCCGGTTGATTTTTAAGCAAGATTTCCGGAATTTCCGTCAAAAGGAAAAGGACCAACAAGCCTCCCATTATTTACAAGACCTGTCACGCTGTAGCGTTCCATTTTGCCATTGGACGTACGACATTACAAAAACGCAAACTGTTTTTTTTGTTCAAATGGAATGCGCCCAAGTAATTCAGAAATGCCTAAATCTTAATACTTCATGTTAGCTTGTCCAGGGCCGAAACTACGGGGGGGGGGGGATGGGGGGTGTAACACACCCAATGAAAAGTCATGAAAGGGGGCCCAACTTGCGCAGAGGGGGCCCTGGGATGCGGGAATTGCGGAAGGTGTTGAATAATAAGGAATGTTCTGAAAAAAGTGAGGTAGAAGAAAGTTTGAAAAAGTATTTTTAACTCCCGCCTCCCCCCAAATTTTTTGGCCGTTTTGTTTTCGGAAAAAACCGTCGACCTCCCCCTGCCTCCCCCCGTCGCCAGAATTTTTCGAAAAAATGTTTGCTTTCTGGAAACATTTTTTTGAGAGGGCCCCAAATTTTTTAATTTACTTATCACCATATCCAAATCCTTAAAATACGAACAAACCCAAACAAACCCAACAAACCCAACAGATCCAACAAATCCAACAGATCCAACAAACACAACAGATCCAACAAACCCAACAGATCCAACGAAACCCAACAGCGCAACAGACCCAACAAAACCCTACAGCACAACAGAGCGAACAAAACCCAACAGCACAACACACCCAACAAAACCCAACAGCACAGCACAGCAAGACCCAACAGACGGAACAAAACCCACCAAACAAAAACCAACAGCACAGCAAAACCCAACAGCACAACAGACCAGAAAAAGTATATAGGCCTGGCCTATAGGCCAACCTATAGGTTCCTATAGGAAACCTATAGGTTTTTATAGGCAATTGGAACATTTTCTATAGGTGCAATTGGAGCATTTTCTATATATGCCTTTAAACCTATTATATAGGTGCCTAAAGGCTTCTATAGGGAATTGGAACATTTACTATAGGAACCTATAGGCCACCTATAGACGTTTTTCGTAAGGAGCGCGCGCAACAGCACAACCCTGAGCACAAGAGACCCAACAGCACAAGAGACCCAACAGACCCAACAGCACAACAGACCCAACAGCACAACAGACCCAACAGCACAACAGACCCAACAGCACAACAGACCCAACAAAACCCAACAGCACAGCAAAACCCAACAGACCCAACAAAACCCAACATCACAACAGACCCAACAGCACAACAGACCCAACAAAACCCAACAGCTCAGCAAAACCCAACAGCACAACAGACCCAACAAAACCCAACATCACAACACAACACAACAGACCCAAAAGCACAACAGACTCAACAAAACCCAACAGCACAGCAAACCCCAACAGACCCAACATCACAACAGACCCAACAGCACAACAGACCCAACAAAACAGCACAACAGACCCAACAAAACCCAACAGCGCAGCAAAACCCAACAGCACAACAAAACCTAACAGCACAGGAGAACCCAACAGACCCAACAGCACAACAGATCCAACAAAACCCAACAGAACCAACAGTACAGCAAAACTCAATAGCACAACAAAACCCATGAACAGCCAAACAAAACCCAACACACTCGCTCCAGGCTATTTTAATATTGTGCGCAATGCTATCAGCTACAGTAATTCATGACCAAGTGCTTAACGTGTATTTTCGTGTATTTATCTAATATTTTCCGAAGCTAAAAATAAAGAAAATAACTATCGAGAAGAGAGAACTGTGTGCGTACATGCAGTAATCTACAATTTCGGAGCACTGAGGCGAGTAGTGATTTTCATTATAGGATCAATTACAGCTGCCCTTTCAACTACAACTTTCCAGATAAATTTAATGTCTTTAATTCAAAACGCAAATGCAGAAAATAGATTTTGTTTTCGTTTGAATTTTAAGGTATTGTAGATGGAAATTATCGAGAAGATAATAATTTTCATCTTCAGTACCCTTCAACTAATATTCATTAGCATAATTTCAGTATTAAAAAATAGCCTTTGGCCATTCTGATTCTCAGACTGCTCTGAGCAGTAACTATTGCTTTTCCCACAAAAGTGGCTGAAAATCAGATGGAAGTAAATTATTAATGCAACTTATATTCATAAAATAAACATGTGTATTTATAAATAAAACTTTTTCAATACCGAAAATATACTAGAACAATTAAGTCGCCTCAGGCTCGGTGATTAGAAGCCTATATTCACTTCGCCTTCGGCTGAATGAATATAGCTAGGCTTCTAATCACTTCGCCTTCGGCGACTAATTGTTAAATCGAGTGACATGCCAACAAAATCTTGATATTTACCCATAACATATACATGGCAGTACCCTAGTATATATGCATAAACTTGTGGTTAGAGCGCGACAACTGGCTTCTGTAGCTCAGTTGGTGAGAGCGCTGCACTGGAATCGCAGGGCTGAAAGCCCTGCAAATTAATCTGGGACAACAAACGTATGTGATTATACAGAATTTTTTAAAATTTAACCATGACAATAACCAATGTGAAATTTTTAAGCTCCTCATCCCTCGATCATTTCAAATACTGTACTGAAACATGTATAGTTATATAATTGTTCGGGCAATGGAATGTACTGTAGTTTAGTATAAAATGAGCACTAAATTTAACAGAATATCTTTTTGTCTCCAAATGCGGAGTAAAAATCCGGCATTGTGTTAAAAATAGTGCCTGTGTTTTTAGCTATATAATGTATTGAAACATATACAGGGTATTATCACAAAGTTTTAAAGAAAATGTACTATATATAGCCATCTGAAATGCTTGTTTTTCAAACATGCATGACCGTTTGAACAGCTGCCTACCTACAAATGCGCACTTCATACGTTTTTTACTTGTTTGCAGTCCTGCTGTCCAACATTAAATTTCATTACTAGGTGAGTTAAAGTTAAACCCATTCCTACTCGTAGTTTGCGACTGGGAGTAAAAGTCACTTTTACTCCCAGTCCTTACTCTCTTCTGGGAGTAAAGGTACTACGGTCTGGTATTATTATTATTGAATAACAATTTTCCACAGTCCAGCAGTTACCAGTACTTTTATTATTACTGTACAAGTGTGTAAATGGCATGCCCACAGGCTTACGTAACACCCTCATTCTAACTTCCTGAACCTTTTTAATACGTGCACCACTTATAGGTAACAAGATACATGCATTTAAGCTGACTTGTCACCTGCACAATAAGTAATCAAGTCATGATCTAGAAAACTCAGCCAAAGTATCAAAATTACTATTGTTTTCATGTGACATATTACAAAAATTCTAAAATTAAAGCTACAAAGCGGACTATCGTATATGTTCAGTATATCACTCTACTAAAAGTTTCCAGTCAACACAATTCTTCCAGTCAAAAAATTCCAGTCAACCAATTAGAGTTTTGAAAATATTGCTGATGTCAGTATTATTTCCAAAGGCTTTTTAAAACTACAGTAGGTTATTAAACACAGGAATTCATTGGCAGTCATAACCATCGGATATCATATTTTAAATTTGGACTATTGGACGTCACAAGCTTACAGTAGTATCCATTGGGATATTAAGCCAATCATTGTCTCGTAAAGATATCTCTCTGTTGCTTTTTTGTCACACTATAAACCTCCGAAACAAAGTCCCCCCCCCCCCCCCAATATACTTCCGCTGTGTATAAGTCCACCATATTTACTACTGCTTAGGCCAGTCCAAATATAACCCTCCCGCCAAATATAAGCCCTCCATGTATAAGCCACCTGCCTTATCATTGGACAGGCATTTATTAAGGCAGTAACAGGGATTACAACAGCTCAGACGAGTGACGATAACAGTATAAGAAAATGTTAACCAACTTGTTTTATTATGTGTTATATACTGTATTTTATATTTCTTTTCGTTCACAGTACAGTGTATAGGTATAGGTACAATAAATATCATTACTAACATTAAATGTCATCCAAATATAAGCTAGTAATATTATGCCTGTATTGTTTTGGTTTTGTAGATATATAAAGTGCTCAATGCATATATATTTGCAAACACAAAAATGTAGTATTTAATGATTTGCATTATATATATTCATTTAATTTTTGGTTTCAAACTTGATCTTAGTTCTTGAACCGGCAACTATAGGTTTAAGGTGGCTCGCTACACTTTTTAAAGAAATGGAAGACCTTACGATTTGGACATGAATTTCTGGACAATAATTATTTGTTGAAAAACGAGTATCTCATCCTCGTCCCCAGGCCCAAGCTCGGGCGGCACTCACAGTGGCCCTGGTTCAGGCCGTTGAGCAGTTGATTGTGATTGGTTCTTTTGCTCTAAAGGAATGTTGCGGGTGGGAAGGAAATGCGGGTTAACAATAAACAATGGCTGGGGCGAAGAGTGGCAATTTAATAAACTTGTATTAAATTATGGTAGAAATCAGATATTTACATTTTTGCTTAAACTATGGTATGGACACATTCAAGACTTCTGGAAACAAACTACATGGATATTTGAAGAATTAAAACGTCTGAAAGTTGAAACGAATTGAATGATAAAGATATATATTTTACAGTTCAAGACTCATATATCAGTCACGGTCCTACTAAAGACTATAGAAATTTATCTTCGGTATGCAACGTCTACAAGATTATTGTGTAAATTGTCGCCCTGCACCTACACAGCCAGAAACGCGCAAGTCGGAACAGGTCTGCAACAGATCTGTTAAATGCTGTTGTCATCAAGCCGATATCTGGATGCGTTCGCTCGCCTTGTACCTGTCTGTTCTGACAGGTCCGCAACGGCCTGTCAAGAGGTCTGTTACAAGCTGTTGTGACAGAGCTGCAGCAATGCTGTTTTCAACAGGCCTGTCGCAAGTTGTTGGCACAGACACAGAATAGGAAGTTATACCAGAAGCGTAACTCTAGTCGTTTCCCTTATTGTTTGACGTCCACGAAAATTTTTAACTCGCTCACGTCAGGCCACGCCATCCTGGCTAGCACAGCCGGAAGTTTTTATCAGGATTTGGTAGGTACAAAGTGCCGGTTGTACTAGCCAGGATGGCGTGATTGATGACGAATCGCTTGTAAAAACGCGGACAAATATTTGCTCGAGTTACGCTTCTGGTATAACTTCCTATTCTGTGGCACAGAGCTGCAGCAATGCTGTTTTCAACAACTTGCGACAGACCTGTTGCAAACCGAGGAAAGCGCCTTATGAAGCTTGTCTATCCACTATTTTGAACAAAAAACGGCAAAACAGGTTGCCATATTTCGGTTGTAGTGTTTCGTGAAATAGAAGTTTGAAATATAAAGTTTTATAAACAAACTTGCGAGATAATTTTTATATATGAATATAAAGTTTTATAAACAAACTTGCGAGATGATTTTTATATATGAATATAAAGTTTTATAAACAAACTTGCGAGATAATTTTTGAGCAAAACAGCTGAAAAAATACGACAAATTCAAGAAATATTCTTATCGTAAACAATTTTTAAAATTATTTGTCTTGAAGTACGACCGAAATATGACAACCTACTTGTATATTTTTCTTCAAAACAGTACATACCATAAACACAAAGCTTCAATAAGGCGTCTTCCTCGCTCGCAGATTTCACTTGAAATTGGAAAGAAATTATATAACGAATTTCATGTTCATATCAACAATGACGAACGTTGCAGTGAACACTCGGTTGTTCATGTATTGTTCATTTCTTAAGCTCTAGATCTTTGTATTCTCATTGCCACAGTTTCTTCAAAAATCAAAACAGCTTTGAACTTGTTTGATTTTGTTTGAGGCAGTTGTTGAAATTTTGTTTGGCTCAAAATTGAAAAACAACTAAACATGATTAAAATGTTTAGGAACGAACTTTCCCTAAGTCTCATGTTATTAGTATATTTTGTGTTCAATATATAGACCACAGTAAGACTTTTTTAAATGTTTATTTCATTAACAAACGACGTTTCGGAGATTTACTCCATCTTCAGGTAGTTAATAGGATTACAATTTGAATTTAAACTAACATGCGCATGCATAAACGTTAAATTGCGACCGTTATTCGCGCGTGCGAAATTGCGTAAGCATATAAATTAGGTGCACGTGTCCGATTAATTCTAATAAAATTAGAAATTGTTAATTCTGTCTTTAATGTTTAAACTACGAAATCTAAGACATAAGGTCTGCCGATAAGGTCTCCTGGCTCATACAAATGATATGCAACCCTCTCCTGCAGTTCGTGAAAGCACATCTTAGAAGCACTCAACACCTACTGAATAATCTACGAAGCATTAAGAATGGAGAGCTGAAGAACAAGCTCCTGTTCAGTCTAGATGTGGTTTCCTTGTATCCAAGCGTAGATAACGACGCAGCAATTGATACCTTACGTTTATATCTAGAGAAAGAAAAGAACAACATCCAACTTTTTCGGTATCTGACATCATTCTACTCACCAAAGCTATCTTCGAAAAGAACTGTCTCTCTTGGAAACGATCTTATTATCAACAGCGTCGAGGTCTGACTATGGGAAACCGGTTAGCCCCAATACTCGCTATACTCTTCATGGACAGAATAGAAAACCAAGCAATCTATTC